CCCCTTTTTCCTTCTCCTCCAGTGATCTCCAGACAATAGCTAAAATGTTCGTCAGCCCCACAACCAACTCAGTGTCCCGTCACCCGTGTTTGGACCCACAATTCACCATCCATTGCTTACATGTGACGTCACAGTTGAGTTGGTTTACAGCTGATTTTGTGTTTACCTCCCAGATTTTGGTGAGCTTGTGGTGATCAACGTGTTTGTTTGTTTGTGTCTGTCTGTTTATTTGTATTGTCTGCCTGATTATCACTGTTTGCATTGTTTGTCTGCATGTATACCTGTATGTACTTCTGTCTGTCTGTCTGTTTTCCTGTCTGTCTGTTCGTTGTATAACTGTCAACATTAATGACAATCAATTCAATATAATCACCTATATCCAGGTTATATTGGTTTATTAGTTCCGCTATATTTATAACAGTATAATCCTCTTGTTGATATCACACAGACTAAGGTAATCCCTATGTAATCCCCTATTAATTATCCTGTGATTCCAAAATTAATTCTCTATAGTAAGGCTAATAAATCTCTGTAATCCAGAGTCCTAAATTAATCCTTACCTGTAATGCTAAGTAATCCCTTTATCAATATCGAATGACCTTGATATTAAACGTATGTAATCCATTTATCAGTACTGAATATAATTTATAATTAACCTCAAGCGGGTAATCCTACGTAACCTCCTTGTTAAGTACCCGCAGATTCTTAAACTAATCCACTTTCGGGTAATTCTATTTAATACCACATCTATATTCAAAAGGATTTGAGTAATCCCACCATTACACCTTATTAATATACGTAAATCCTACCACAGTGTAATCCCTAACTGGAGGTTTGGGGAGGGGGATTTATTCTCTCTTAATTGTTTCCTTTATGTTATTGTTTGGAGATTTTTCCGGGATTTTTTATTTGAATTTTGTTTATTTTTCATCGTGATTTTTAAGAAGTGTTGTTGTTGTTGTTGTTGTTATTAGTATTTTTTCTCATAAATTTAAAGAAATAAAGACCAAATTATCGCCTGGTAACTTCCCAGCCAAAAGGACTTAACAGCCACTTGTCTAAACGGTCGAGGTTGACGTGTTAACAGGAGTGAATCTCACCTCTGTGTGCCCCTCCTTCTTGACCTTCTCTGCTGACGCCTTCCTCCTGATTTCCTTGGTGGTAATATTTAAGAACTTTTAGGCGTGTTGCTGACAGTTTTAGTTTTCTTTCTGACAGCTGTTATTCTGTTGCTGACAATTGTTCTTATGTTGGTGACAGTGTTTTTTCTTGCTGACAGTATTATTTTGTAGCTGACATTATTATTTTGTAGCTGACACTATTATTTTGTAGCTGACATTATTATTTTGTAGCTGACACTATTATTTTGTAGCTGACACTATTATTTTGCAGCTAACAGTATTATTTTGTACCATTATTTTGTAGCTGACACTATTATTTTGCCTTTTATTTTGTTTGACATTATTATTTTGTAGCGTACACTATTATTTTGTAGCTGACATTATTATTTTGTAGCTGACACTATTATTTTGTAGCTGACACTATTATTTTGCAGCTAACAGTATTATTTTGTACCAGCCAAATCCTTTGTTTTTTTTACGTAAAATTCTTGGACCAAACCTCGGGGTACACACAACAAACTGCCTACTTAAACCCACTTATAAATGTCTGGCCTACTTATATAATTTACAAGGAGAAACACTTATCATGACGAGTCAGTTTGTGAGTACTTAACGCCAGACTCACTTATTTTACTTTTAAGTTTGTCTTTAAGTAGAGTTTGGTTGGTATGTGGTGGATTTAAGTAGAGTTTGGTTGGTATGTGGTGGATTTAAGTAGAGTTTGTGGAAGTATGTGGTGGCTATGTTGTGGTTTTAGGTTAGAATGTGGTAGTGTTTGGTGGTTTTTGTTAGGTATATGGTTTATATGTATTAGTATGAGGTAATATAGTGTGGTATGTGGTAGTATGAGGTATTATGTGGTGGGTAAATCCTCCCTTTACTCTCTCTGGCCAATTACTAAATCATTGAAGAGTCAGCCCTCAAGTTTCAGTATGATGGTTGGGGTCGTCAGTATGATGGGTGGGGTCGTCATTATATTGGGTGGGGTCGTCATTATATTGGGTGGGGTCGTCAGTATGATGGGGGTGTCGTCAGTATGATGGGGGGTCATCATTATATTGGGTGGGGTCGGCAGTATGATGGGCGGGGTCGTCAGTATGATGGGGGGTGTCGTCAGTATGATGGGGGGTGTCGTCAGTATGATGGGGGGGTCATCATTATATTGGGTGGGGTCGTCAGTATGAAGTTATTATAATTAATTATGCTAATGAATATGGAGACATTTACTCTAATATCCACAATTTTAACTTTTGGACAATATATACTTAATCTGCATACCGGAAGCAACCAATATTGAGAACTTGAGCAAAAAAAATCAAGAGGTTGTTTTCGGTAACACAGGAGACGTCCTCATCATACTTTCCGACGTTACATATTAA